CCGGGCTCTGTTCCCTGCCAGATACACCACTGTTCACAATTCCATTACCATCCCGTGCGTGATGACTTGTTTCTCTTAACCCATTCTGCCTGCTAGCATGAGCATTCATCAGGATTGAAGCTTGTCGTCAATCAGAATCAGAAAGATTGAGTACGTGAAGGTGTAGTTTCCCAGTATCTAAAATCCCTCTCCAATCAGCAGAACAATAGCACATAACTCTAAGCGGTGTTCAAGAACCCAAAGGCACCCTTCAACTTATACAAGTGGAAACGACCAGAGGTGCTGTGGAAGTGAAACAAAAAGTCCACACAAACTATTGTGGGGGAATGGAGACAGATTCCTTGCGTATTCTAAATCCCACAAGGAGCCTCGAAATCCAATGGTTGCTTGCTCCCTGGACAAACTACTGCACCTTAAAAGACTAACGTTAAGCAATTAATCCTATTCCCAGCAGCAGCGAGAATGAACAACGTAACTGAACCCGGCAGATTAAAGAAAAATTATCAAACCCTAACTGAAGCAAACCGTGAATCTGCTGACATTAACAGCAAGAGACCGACCTTCCACAAAAAGCGATCTACAGATAACCTAGATGATCAACGAACTAATCTATGAAACAGAGACTTCTCATATTCAACCTTGATGCAGAGTCTTTATTGATTATTACTGAAAAAAGAATGAAGGAAAAAGCAAATATAACAATAGGTATGAATCACCAAAAAACGACTAGCTAGGAATTAAAACAGCAAAAGTATTAGAAACTAAAACATGATGAACATGAGAACTTCACCAATCTCATGATATGGATCGATCTGGAGGTTGAAGGTGGAAAAAAAAAAGTCACAATAAATGCAGAATCTCAGAGCTTAACTTGATCGGAAATCCAGAAATCGCTGAATTTCACCTCCTCTCTTATTTGCGAGCACAGTAGCAGTGACGAAGTTGCTTGACCAGCGTCGGAAAAAGGAGGCCGAAGGTTGAAGAAAAGGGGAAATGGCCGAATTTACAGTTTTTCCACTTCAGAACTAATTGGAAGAGAAAATTTTAAAATTAAAAAAAAAAAATGGAAGAAGATATTGCAGAGGGTACGCGGGGATGACGTGGACAAATTGAAGCTGTGGGATGGTCCAATTGTGCCACGTAGGACGAAGATATTTCCAACGTGGCAGAAAAACTTGGGGCCACTGGTTTTAGAAGCGGAACGAAATCTAAAGCCAGGAGCTGGAGAGATTGTATGGATCCGGGAGATTTAGTCGAGACACGTGGCGTCAATTCAGAGCCGATTGACGGAAAGATAACGTGGCTTTCACGGACGTCGAGGGTATTTGGCTGACTTTCCGTCAAGTCCGGTAGATAATGATTAAAAAAAAAGAAGATGGACAGACACGTCATATTTTCTTTCACTAAAGAAATAAACCTAAATAAAATATTTGCTCGGTTAATATTTTAGATAATTTGTACTTTTATTATTTTTTTATAATTTTTAATATCTCGAAATTACTTATTTATCCTCAATGTATAAATATAATCCACTAAAATAAATAATTTAACCATATCTATGTATCTAAATATGTGCTTTTTAATTATTTAACTACGCGTAATATTTTATTGATAAATTATGACAAGAGCATACTTGGTAATTTTTATTATCTTAACATAAAATTAAGAAACAAATTATAACATTAGGAATTAATTTTAAGTTTCTAAATTTGAATAATTTAAAATTATGAACTGTAATGGAATGAGATATATGAGCTGTAATAATATTTCATTTAATATTATATTTCATTTTGGTTTATAAAGTTAGTTTCAATTTAACCAACTCTCCACTAACAATGAAATTATAAATGTATTACCATATGTATTAGAAAAAAAAAATGTTACATATTTAATAATAACCCCTAATTAACAAGACCATAAAACTCAATATTAAAATATTAAAATTTGCATTTCACTAAAATGAAGTAATTCAAAATTTACATAAATAATAAACTAAACATGCTTAAGATGAAAAAAAAGTTTACTTATTTAATTAAAAAATGGTTGAAAAAGATTGACAGGGTTAAATTTTGCTGGTACCAACGGTCTGGTATAGAGCAATCGAAAGTCTCACTTCATTGGTCCGTAATTTATAATCGCACGTGATTACGTAAAAATATCACAAAATAGTTACTTGGAAAGGTTGCGATATACTATGGGTGATAGTAGAAGATTGATAATCATAATGGAACACTTTTCTTTTCTCGTATAATTTGATTTTTTTTATAATTTTTGGGATAAAGAGTAATTCAAAAATTCGATCTAATATTCTATTTCTTTCTACAAAATATTATAAATTAGTTTGAACCCTCCAATAGATAATGCCATGTTACATAATATTATAAATTAGTCTAACCCTCCAATAGGTAAGTGCCACGTTACATCATCATCCTCAATCATGCACAAATGAAATATATAAAACACATTAAACTAAAATGTTTTAATGTTATACATTATATATTTAGGCAAAAATATAGTTAATAAAGTCAAATATTCAAATATATTCATCCACATTTTTTTTTATTTACTTTTTTTACTGTATAAACTTTTCATGGTCGAAGATCGGTGAGAGAGGAGATGGTTTTATTTTTATTTTGAGTTCCACAAATGAAATATATAATCCAATTAAATTCGACTTTAAATATGTTAAAAATTAAAAAATGTCATTACATGGCTACGGAAATGTCAAAATTTGTTTCTTTACAATTTATATCATAGAATTAGTTACATAATTAATAAATAAGGCAGCCACAATTTTAATATGCATTAAATATCAAATAAGTTTAGGTACATTTTTTTATCCCTAAGGTTTGAACAATAGGTTAATTTAGTCAATAAACTTCAAAATCATACAATAAAATCACTAACATTTATGAAACAGCTTAATATAATTGTTTGCTCGATGATTTTGTTATGAATGTGTAGACGTGACATATTTTAAAATTAAAAATATTATAAAAATAAGTTTTACATAGGAGTAATAATAATAATAATAATAATAATAATATACCAGAAAAGAAAAATCACTTTTAAACCAACCAAAATTGTCATCAAAGTAAGCTAAAGGAGAATAATATGTCTCAGCTAATCAAGAACCTGATGCCCTTAGTCATAAGAGTGAACATGGAGTCTTGTACATGTTGGCTCTTTGAATGGAACAGTTCATAAGAACATTAAAGGCAAACATTTGCATGTACCGTGTGTCGAAACTTGAGAACATGCCTACAAGGTCATGGGAGGGTGCACCCTCAACTTCATCACCCACCTCATCATCATCAACAAATTCTTCATTCCAACACCAAAGGCGTGTTCAACCACAATGACAACCTAGTTCTTTAACCATGTTGTTAAGTTATGAGGTGTTCTAAGAAACATTGTTAATGACCATGATGGTCGATTCACAGGGACCTAGACAATGTTATTCGGTCTGTTAAGCTCAAATCTAAATATCTCTCCTAGTTATCACCACGTGTCAAGACCAAACACTTCAATAGTATGCTCAAAGAATATCTAAGACAGATGTGAGAAAGAAGAATTGGGTTAATGTGCTGGATGTTAGATTAGTTCAACTTTAATTGTCAAAAGAGTTCTTCAATGCACAAAAGACACTTTGTTCACGCCATGTGTTGACCACCCTTGTATAAGAAAAAGTCCTCAAGCTTACAACTTCCCTATCATCTAGACCCAGTACATATCAATTACAACGAGACATTTCGGCCTCTTGTCATAGTAAAAAATACCATCGAAAAGAGGTAAAAAAGATATTAGCAAAGAGACACAACAAAATGACAAACCAAGAAAAGATCTACAAAAGTTACTTATAAAGAGGAAGGGTCTCCACAATGCACGGATTAGTTGAGAGTACACTGATACCTAAAGTCTTCCACTATTTAAATTGTGGAGTTCGAGCACGGTTGGTTGTCAAGGATGTCAACAAGTGGATGAGAATGTCACAATCATATTTTTCCAAGGCATGTTATTCATGTCCTCATGTCCGCATGTCCATTACAAACATTTTACCTTACTCTCATGTTCTTAACTTTTTACCAAACTTTTATGGTATGCCCGTCCATTCTAGCATAATTATTTACTATTCTTATAATTTTGTACGCATATCACTCATCACCACTTTCAATGTTTACACCAGCGAAGGCAATTTGCTTCATAATGACTCTAGGAAATGTAACCATTCTTTCAATCTTCCTACCGAAGTTATATGTTAAAAATGTTGCTGTCTCTTGCTTGTTAGAATATAAAATCTTCCTACTCAAAAAAAGTTTTTCCAAAACTTTGACTAACTCTATTTCCTAAAACTATTTTCCAAGAATGGGTAGAGGCAACGAGACAGGTCATTTGTGGTACTAAAGATCCAAGTTTGAGTTGATTGACTTAGTCAACAGCAAGAGTAAGTATCATACAATCACTCTGTGAGTCCCGAAGAAGTGCAATTGTAACATGGAACGCAAACTATCGTAGTCAAGAGTTGGTATTGTACCCCCATACTCCCCCATATCCAATATTTGCAGCTGCGAAAGCTTACTATTCGGCAAATACTAAAGCCAACCAGCTAGGCCAACTGCAATTGTCTACTCTAGTCCAACTAGATTATCATCAAAATCCATCATTATCATCAATTAGTATCTTTTAACACAACTTTTTACATCCGTCTTTTACAAAAACATACAAGAAAATCATATCCCTACAAATATTCTAGACCTAACTCTCCCATATATAGATATACTTCCACAGAGGACTAACTTGCTAGAACACTTTTAAAACTGAGAAACAGATATTTCGACGATGATATGCAGTGTATATACAAGGGAAAATACCTCGGGGAACTAGTGTTACAAAAAGGCCCACAAATATATCAAAAGATCATTTAAACTATTATGTGTAAACAGGAAGAATCACTTACAAAAATAGATTCCATAGATCTGTCACATGAGAGACATTTGTTGTTGAAAGTCCGGTTGTTTCTTTCCAACCAAAGGCCAGAACATAAAAATCTTCAACAGGAACAATTTTTCAATAATTAACAGTAGGTTACAAGAATTAAATATCATTATTCCTCTGTAGAGATATTATACCCAACACTGATACAAATCCCTGTTTGCAGCGAATCTACTCGACCAAACAATAAAATATGAAGTATTTCCTCTCCATCCTTCCGAATTGGGGGAAGAAAGAACATAACAATTTAGAAGAATAAATTTAAACCTCATGTTCGTTTAACTTTTAGTTTTCTTTTTATTGTTCTGCAAAATTGTTTATGCCTGTTGTATATGCTGAAAATAATCAACTAACCAACCATTTGTGGGCCAGAAATTTAGGCTGCTGCAGATAGTTTCTCCTCAAAATCATCCAGATTAAGAACTTGGAGTAGCTTTGGCCAAGACTCTGGGATGCCACCAGGTAAGTCGAATTCCAACAATTTCCCTCTACTGCGGTAGAACTCCTCAACAGGTTGACTCTAATGCCATACACAAATAAGCAAAAAAAAAGAGGAAACAAGAAACCATCAACTTCTTTAATACCATCAAAAGATGAACATCACAGCACGTAAAAAGAAAAGTTCTAAGTATTACTGGAAGCCTACTGAAAACCTTTATTTTCTTCTATTGATATCCAATGCAAGAAAATAGCAAGATACCTTTTCATTATAAACTCGAAGACGCTCTTTTACAACTGCTTCTGTATCATCTGCTCGAGTAATTAGTTTAGACATACAATGTGTAGGAGGAAGCAGTGGAGCCATGCTCATTCCAGGATGGCCGTTTTCGCCCCTCACATTAATGGAGGCAAGATTGAAGTTTTTTCCACACTGACCACAGATTCTTCTCCCAAGGCATTTCTCAAGTAGCACGTCCTCTCGAAGCTTTAGATTAACCACCAAGTCGATATCAATCACCTCTTCCAAAATTTCCTAAAATGCAACCAAATAAACCAGAATCTATGAGCCTGTAAAGATCAATTGGTATAAAGACATACGAATTAAAAAAACTGAATTATAATGATTTATTAATCTCTTTCATATAGAGGTTGGTTCATGACTATTAAACTGTTGCTAATCTAAGAGTGGATGTGACAAGGAAATGGCCTTCGGTTTCAAAAGATGGACCGTCGGAACTGCTGTTCACTATTAGCTAGAGTTACATTAAACCATTCTTTAATCGTTATTGATGGAACCCTTATTTGGCCAAAAAACATTCATTGATCCAAAATGATGAACAACCATGTTGGTAAGGAGTACATGCCAATCACTCAGTCGATGTTTAAACGCTTCATCTTTACCACAGAATACTCACTGCTTGATTAATTGTCCGAGGGAAACCATCGAGGATAAACCCAGATTCACCTTTCGCCTCACCAGCTTCAAGTCTCTTGGACAACAAGTTGATTATGATCTCGTCCGATACTAATTTACCCTGGTTAACAATATCTGACAGCTGCAACAAGCGAGATCAGGATGAGACATAAATAAGAACGGGAAATGAACGCGATGATTGACTTAATATAAATCAACAATTTGACAAAATGCACGCACTGATTGACTTAATAGCCAAATCCGATCTACTACCAATCCTTCAAGATACTAAGTTTCAATATCAAACTCAATTCAAACCGGGAGCTAAAAAACGATCCAGAAACATTACATTTCAAGTGACAGAAAATGATGAAATGAGGAAATACCTGGCGAGAAAGTGGACTGGAAGAGGTGAGCTCTTCGCGGACGAGATCGCCGGTGGCGATGTGAGGGATACCGAGAAGGTTACAAAGACGACTAGCATAGGTCCCCTTGCCGACACCAGGGCATCCAAGAAATACCCATTGAACGTTCCGATCTTTAGGATCCTTGCGGGGAAGATGGCGGTTAAGACCGGAAGGCAAAGGGGTAGTAGTAGGAGAGCTGAGCTCAGACGCAACGGCTGAAGAAAAGCATCTCCTGACGAGAGAGAAGGATGAAAGAGACGAAACCGCAGAGGATTTCGAGTAGCGGATCAAGGCCGCCATGGGGACTGTTCTGCTGGAAGTCGTCGTTCGTCCAAGAGGATTGGAGACGATGTAACGATGTGCATTTTAACTAGGGCTTCGTCAGTTACGATTGCCAATTTCTAGCGATCCACGCGCGCGCGTTCGAGAAATGACATTATAATTATTTCAAAAAATAGGCCATTATTTTATAAATTAACCAACATTTCACCCCTAAACACATTTTAGTTCTTAATCAAATTATTGATTTACATGAATAATAAAACTCATTTAATCTATTAAAAATTTATTAAATATTAACATTAATTCTCGTAAGTTTTAAAATAAAAATACTAAATCATTAAAAATATATATATATATATATATAATATATATATATATATATATATATATATATATATAAAAATTAAAGGCATACACAAGGTTGAAAAAATCTTTTGGACCAACCGAAAAATTTGGGTTGTTGGGCTCACACGAGCAACCTAAATAGTTTTACAATCCAACCCAACCCAACCCAACTATTTATTTTCAACTTGTTCGGATTAGTCTAAATTAATTTTTTTTTATTATACAAACATCCTTAATATGAACTGAATCATTGTTTACTAAATTTTATGAGGTACTGGGAAATAGTTTTTGTCCATATATTGACGATAAGAAAATGATGTTAATATTATTCTTAAATTTTTATGGATATTTTTTATAATATGATTCAAATAAAAAAAAAAATTATTATTTTTGAATTTTTTTTTCCTGCCAAAATTATGGTAAATTTCTAACGCGATTTTAAGGCACCAATTATTCTTCAGCCTGCCAAGACCAAGAGTGATAGTGTAGAAAAAAAGGTGATGATGTGGCGCTATATGGTTGGTCCGCTCAATATTTGGTTTAAAATAATCGCAGGAAAATTAAATCGTTGTTCATCTACCCGCCACGTTTAGCCTCTGTTCCAAAATTTCAACAGCCACTACATCGACGGCTCCCCCCGGCCGCTGATTTCGGTGGAACACATGGCGGCGACTCTATCGGCTTCACCGACTTACGGTTCTGCGGCACCACAAAGGAAATCCAGCCAATCGCCTCGTGTTTTCTATAATCCTTCTCATCGAAACCTTCTTTTTAATTCCAGTTTCTCGCACTACAACAATACCGTTAAACTCTCTCTTAAGCGAGCTGGCGTCGTCGTGTCGGCAGTATCTGATTCTCCCGGTAAGTCAAATCGCTCTGTGATTTACGGTTTTTCCCTTGTTATTGCGGGCTGTGGTTGGTGAAATGTGGTTTACAGGAATTGGATCGTATGTGGAGTCTGGGAACATTGCGGATTTACTGGATTCGGTTAAGGTGTTTGACTTGAACGGAAATGGAATTCCGATTTCCGATCTCTGGAAAGACAGGAAAGCCGTGGTCGCATTTGCTCGTCATTTTGGGTACTTGTTTGAATTTTATCTAATTGACAACGGGTTTTCAATTCGTATTCTTCGCTTTGTAAGTAAATATGCGTTGCCGCAGGTGTGTCTTTTGCCGAAAACGTGCTGATTATCTTGCTTCTAAGAAGGTAACTAATATCTTGGGTCCAATGGCGGATTTATGGTAAAGAACCTGTGGAATCCATAAAAGAATTGCTTAGATGGATAATGTTTGCTTGCCAATATGAGCATAGCTAGATGTTTAGCTTGCTCATATTAGTATAATTTTAGCTTGCTCCATTTTTACTGCTAATTCATGGCAATATTAGGGCTAGTATCTCGCCATTAATTTGGATATATGCATATATATTAATGTTTTCCCCCAAGGGGAATCAATCGATTGGTTTCCAATTGTATTGTCAATATTCTCATGGGAGATGTGAAATCTCAATTGATTGGAAAGGGAAATGAAACATTTTTTATAAGGGTGTGGAAACCTCCCCTAGCATACGTGTTTTAAAACTTTGAAGGGGAGCCTGAAAGAGAAAGTCCAAAGGGGACAATATCTTCTTGCAGTGAGCTTGGGCTGTTACAAATGGTATCAAAGCCAGACACCGGGGCGATGTGCCAGTAAGGACATTGAGCTCCGAAGGGGGTGGACACGGGGCGGTGTACCAGCGAGGACGCTGAGCCCCGAAGGGGGTGGATTGTGAAATCCCACATCGATTGGAGAGGGAAACAAAACATTCCTTATAAAAGTGTGAAACCTCTCCCTAGCAAACGCGTTTTAAAACTTTGAGAGAAAGGCCAAAGAGGACATCTACTATCTATAGGGCTGTGCTGTTACAGGGATGCATCAAGCATATAAATGGCTTTTCTACCGCAAATTAAGAAACTTCTCAAGAATTAAGTCATACATTTCATGATATGGTAGCAGGACTTATTGGACGCATCCGGTGTGGCTCTTGTGCTGATTGGACCTGGGAGCATTGATCAGGTATGAAATTAATCCTCAATGGAGTTCTAGCAAAATGCTATATTTGAGGGGTTTATTAAGCATGTGGTTTTGGATCATGACACACATTATTTGTTAAGCTTTCCATTATTGCCTTTGAGTTGGACTGTATGGTTATGGACCATGAATAAATTATCACTGCATCATTATTTCTCACATCAAAATCTATCTCTCTCTTCATTGATCCTTATTTATTGTTAGCAATTTGATGCAGGCAAAAGCATTCAATGAGCAAACAAAATTTCAGGGAGGTAAGTTTCTGCCACCATGGACGAATTTTGGCACTGATTTTTTGTGGCTTATTTATGTGTACAATATATAATAGATATCGATCCGGTGTTGATGAAGAAATTTGCAGGATGAGTATAGGTTATCTAGTTTGGCTACTGCTGGTTAAATATTTTACATGCAATGAATATTCCTTCGAATCATATGTTGATCTGAGAGAAATTTTACTGTTGTCCCTTTAACATCTTATAATATTTCCGCTGAGGACCTGAAAATAGATAAACAGAGTAGTTCTTAAGAACCAAACTTAATCTGGAGAGGTTCTGGCTGTAAAAATTGGATTGTTGACTTGAACTGATGGAAGCATACTCTCTGTTTCAGAAGTTTATGCTGATCCTGCACATTCATCATATGAGGCTCTAAATTTTGTGTCTGGGTTTACAACCACATTTACTCCCAAAGTATGTTAGGAGTTCAGTATCATAGCAATGTTATAACCAGCAATATCAGCTTGTAGGTGCTTACTATGGCTGCTTGTCTGAATTTATAGGCAGGTCTCAAGATTATTGAGCTGTACATGGAAGGCTATCGGCAAGATTGGAATCTTTCTTTTCAAAAGGACACTGTGTCTAGAGGGGGATGGTAACTAAAAAGCTCAATTATTCTCTCTCTCTCTCTCTAACATTTTGGTTTCAGATTTCAGAGCATGGTTGAGTGTTCTGATCTAATTTCCTGAGTTGACATGAACAAGCAGCATGATCCACTGATCTTGATATATACTGCCCATTATCAGTTATCACATAAACTAACTTACATCTGAAATTCATTGGATAAAATGGCTTAGGTTGAATACATCACTGATTCAATTTAGCTAGTCTTCGCATTCCGTTGGAAACTCATCATGGCATGACCAAGAAATTTTGTTCATTATCCTGAGGACTTGACTATTGGTTTATAAACGACCAATTTTCAGATTCCTTACGTGAGATCCTACGTTGATTAGTGAGGGAAAAGAGTGTCAGTGAGGACGCTGAGCCTCGAAAGGGATGGATTATGAGATCCTACATCGGCTGGAGAGGGGATGAAACATTTTTTGTAAGGGTGTGGAAATCTCTCCCTAGCAGATGCGTTTTAAAAATATTTGAGGGGAAGCCCGAAAGGGAAAGTTTAAAGAGGACAATATATGTTCGCGATTGGGGGAGGGGAATGAGTGCCGGCAAGGACACTGGACTCCAAAGAGGAGTGAATTGTGAGATCCCATATCGGTTGGAGAGAAGAACGAATCATTCTTTATAAGGGTGTGGAAATCTCTCCTTAACAAACATGTTTTTAAAACCTTGAGGGGATGTTGCCTGAAAGGGAAAGTTCAAAGAGGACAATATCTGTTAGTGGTTGAAGAGGGGAACGAGTGCCAGCAAGGATGGGCTCCGAAGAGGAGTGGATTGTGAGATCCCACATCAGTTGGAGAGAAGAACAAAACATTCTTTATAAGGGTGTGAAAACCTCTCCTTAGCAAACTCGTTTTTAAAACCTTGAGGGGAAGCCCAAAAGGGAAAGTTCAAAGAGGACAATATCTGCTAGCGATTGACTTGGACGGTTACACATTCATTTCTTTTTCAATCTCTCTCAAATGTGCTTGACAAGAAAGCATATTCGTGCCATTTTTCAGGCAGCAAGGCGGCATCATAGTTGCAGGTCCCGGTAAAAATAACATCTCTTACATTCACAAGGTATGTCACTTGTCCATACATGTTCTTCATTGATATCTCTTTTACATTCACAAGACATGTCCATTGTCCAGATCAATAATTCTCGATGGTTTTCTTTTCCTGGTAAAACAACATCTACAAAATTTTCCTGCATGATGAAAAAAAATTCTGACCCCAATTCTTCAGGGTTTAATCTAAGATGAACTTTCAGAAAACCATTTTTTTTTTCTGTAAAGCTACAAATTGTCAAACTTTTTATCGTCTTTTAATTTTTTTGAACTTTAGGATAAAGAAGCTGGGGATGATCCAGATATCCAAGAAATCCTCAAGGCTTGTTGCTCATGAAGCCGAGAGGGATTCTCACACTGCACTGATCCATTGCCATCTAAGGCTGGTTTGCAATAAGGTAGCGATTATGGAACAAAAACGCCCTGAAATTATATAGCCCACTTGAAAAACAACATTGATATGAAGGATAGTAAAGAGTATAGTTTTTGTTTAGGGAACAGTTAATTTTATACTCTGAAAAGTTGGGACAGTATGGATTATCTCCCTTTGTGGATTTATATGTAATTTCAGTGTAACGGGTCAAGCCTACTCGCTACGTATCGATGTTAGCCTCACGATTTTAAAATACGTCTGTTGTGAGATCTCACCACATTCGTTGGATGGGAGAATGAAACATTTCTTATAATGATGTCAAAACCTCTCAATGCATTATTTATAAGAGTGTGGAAACCTCTTATCGCATACGCATTTCAAAACTATGAAGCTAACGTCATACGTAACAGACCAAAGCGAACAATATCTGTTAGCATGAAATTTGACTGTTATATTTCGACTGGGGCGAAAAGTGTTTGAATAATTATTGAATCATACACTAATATCATAAGCATATTAATGATCTAGGTAAGTTAGGTCCTAATTTACAATAATACTAATACAAATAAAGATTGATATTAGCACACAAACACATACCATACATACTTTTTTGGTCAATGATTTTTGTCTTTAATGTTTGGTCGCATACATGTGATACGATGTTTGAAGCATACATGTAACGCGTACTTCAATTAATCCGATTAGTTTATTTAAAGCATATGAACTAAATTCAAATATTCGAAATTTTTTGAAATTTTTGAAAAAAAAAAATTACACTTAAATTTGAATTTTGAATTTTGTAATTGTTGAAAAAAAATATATTTATTTGAAGTATATTTTAAAGTTTCAAAGTGAAAATGATTGTTTGTTTAACATCTGACATCAATTAAAACAACTCTTAAAATGTATTTTGTAATTCCTTAATTTTTTTTCTCTACTTTTTCAAGCCCTAAATATATAGCAAATAAACTCATTTCCCGCTCCTCCACATATCAGTCGCGCTTGTTTCTCCCTCCATCCCCATGGCCGATAAGAGAAAGCGCCGGCGATCTGAACTCAATCCAGACGTTGAAGCTCAACTTCCCTTCAAGAACAGCCTCAAATCTGATTCTATCATTCTTCAGATTCTCAAAGAGTTCAGTGACTGCTCCACCGCCCCATCTTCCTCTTCATCTAAAACCCTCGACGACCTAGGCCTCTCCTCCTCCTGCCGCGAGGTCACCGATCTTTCGCTTTCTTCCGTGCAGTCCACAATTGAAGATCTTATCCTCAAAATTGCTCGTTCCATTCTTTCCGGCAATGGTTTTGCATTTGATGTTCCTTCTCGATCGGCGGCCAATCAATTGTACGTTCCGGAGCTCGATCGCATCGTTTTGAAAGACAAAACCGCCATTCGACCCTACGCCAATATTTCCACTGTTCGGAAGTCCACCATTACTACTCGCATTCTTCAGCTTGTCCACCAACTTTGCATAAAAAACATCCATGTGACCAAGCGAGATCTGTTCTACACGGATGTAAAGCTCTTCCAGGATCAGACTCAGTCGGATTCTGTGCTTGATGATGTTTCTTGCATTCTCGGCTGTACTCGGTCGAGTCTCAATGTGATTGCTGCGGAGAAAGGAGTGGTTGTGGGAAGGCTCATTTTCAGTGACAATGGGGATATGATCGATTGCACTAAAATGGGCATGGGCGGAAAAGCGATTCCGCCAAATATTGATAGAGTTGGAGATATGCAGAGTGATGCATTGTTTATCCTCTTAGTTGAGAAAGATGCCGCGTATATTAGGTTAGCTGAGGATAGGTTTTACAATCGCTTTCCATGTATTATTGTGACCGCTAAGGGACAACCAGATGTGGCCACGAGATTGTTCTTGAGGAAGATGAAAATGGAGCTGAAGCTCCCAGTGCTTGCGCTTGTAGACAGTGATCCATATGGGTTGAAGATTCTATCTGTCTATGGATGTGGATCAAAGAATATGTCTTATGACAGTGCTAATTTGACTACTCCTGATATCAAGTGGCTAGGAATAAGGCCGAGTGATTTGGATAAATATAATATACCGGAGCAGTGCAGGTTACCTATGACAGAGCAGGATATTAAGACTGGGAAAGATCTGTTAGAGGAAGATTTTGTTAAAAAGAATCCAGGTTGGGTTGAAGAGCTCACTTTAATGGTGAAGACGAAGCAGAAGGCTGAGATTCAGGCATTGAGCTCATTCGGGTTTCAGTATCTGTCGGAGGTTTATCTGCCATTGAAGCTGCAGCAGAAGGATTGGCTGTGATCCAATAGTTTGTTAGTGTGTGTTGTAATCAATTGTTGAATTTCTGTTGCAACATTAGGAAAGTTGAGCAATGATCAGTTTGTTTGATCAGATAATGTTATCTCTGACCGAACCATATTCAGCTTTCAGAGGTAAAGAAATACCTGCTTTCTGAAGGGATTTCAATAGATACTCTTGCTTCCAATTTTATGTTTATTGTCCTTTTGTTTTAGTTATTTGATAACAGTGGCATAATAGTCGAGAATAATTGAAATCAGGGTTCATGATATCAAGGAGGTATGATTATCTTATAGTTTAGAAAAAATGCTGTTCTTTTAACTGATTATATGCCTGCAAACTCTTGGTATTGGTCTTCTGGTTAATCGGACTGTAAGAACTTTGTCCTAGGTAGGGGGGATCTGTAGTTGGAGGAATTTAGGAGTACGCCCACTTTAATACCTCTCTTGGTGCTTAAGCTTGACTACAACTATTTTGTCCTAGCAGCCCCGTTTCTCATCACTATCAGTTGGGGCTATTGAAAGTTTTTGGTTCCGGTTTTGTTTTCTTACTCTTTTTCACCGACCCAGGTTCTGTATCAAGTTGTTTCATTCTGGATATAGGAAGTGATACAATGCTCATTTCTTTTCATTTGGTATTCAATCATGCTTCCTAAAACTTTTCCTAAAACTTTTGAATCGATAAACCAACATTATCGTGGCTGTATTTTTTTCGAAATAACTAATAAGTGAAACCCGGTTTTAAGTGTATAAGTTCTAACATGTGAGGTGAGCATTTGAAATTCTGATTTAGAACCATATCTTTACCAGTTGAGCTATGCTTAAATTGGCTAAAAGAGGAGTAATAACGGAATGAATGATATGAATGATATGAATGATGATTAAGATTTTCATTTTGTATCATATCATACGGGGACATTACTTATACTGCTTTGCAAAGAGAAAAAGTAACTACAAGATATAGCACATAATCATTATATCTTTAACATAAAATCATCCTGGGGGTATTGAACACCTATCTTCTACTATCACTAATTTCTTTGCAGCCAGTCTTGCAGTGATTTCCTTGTGACATACAGCTTCTGTACATCTGCTGGCCTCCTAGTGGAGTACTTAATCCTTCCAATAATTCCTTTCAACTTTGTATATGACATGTTAGAGCTTTCTGATGTTCCTCCTGCAGGAAAAACCTCAAGCCCGAATTCGTCTTTCAAGAGTTTAGGTATTGCATCTCTCACCTCGAAGTTGTATTGAACTAAATCTGTTTCAATTTTACTGATTCTGCTGCAGCCAAGATGAAAATGTAACCATTTCTAAAGGGTAATGGGCGCAGCTATGTTCCTCCTTGTGAATTAGCATAGTAGTTCAGTGCTATTTATCCATTAAAGCAAAGCTTGGAGTGGGAGAGAATAAGATCTATCCATACAAGTATGGTAGTAGATATATATTTTTCTCAGGAATATGTCAATACCTTATGCATACTTTTCCTTGATCATTCGCAGAACTGCAAGAACGTTTATTTGAGCTTCAACCTGATGAATACAGTAAATGCTTACTCTCATGCAGGTGGCTTGACTTGTATTAGTAGAGCGTTCTTCATCTAAAGGCTCTGAATATCATGAACTTGTCTAAGTCAAACTCTGATTGTTGCGGGAGAAGGTTTTGGTAAGCTCGTCGCTGTTCTCGAAATTGCAAATATCAAATGTTAGTTTGCGAGGAATAATGGATGAACCAGTTGTTGATGCTATTTTGCTTGCAAGGCTTTTGGTAAGACTCTACTCTTTAATGTAAATTCAATTCAAATTCAACAAAATGTGCCTTAGAAAACCATGTGATTGATATATTGCAAGGAAATCCAAGTGTTTGTGGACGTGCTAGTTGTTGATGCAATTTATATAATGTTGTAAACCTCCTGTCTCTTTGGAAGTCAGTAGACAACAAAATTTACATTGAGACCATCTTTTAACACTCGTTTCATTAGGTTAAAAATTGAGTATGATTTGTATTTTAGTTTGTTTCATAAATGGATATTTTTTGCTTTGTTTTCTCGAATGCTTCCACGGGGTACTAGTTTCGTATCGTGTTTTCAGTAGCTATATTTTGATCATAATCGCTATATTTTCACTAGCTGGACTTTTCCTTCTTGTAAAGTGATCATAAACGTCTATTTGACTTTTCTATTATCGGTGACTGAACTAAACCACATTTTTAATAGATTGTGAAATTGAATCTGTTAAATTATGAATAGTGACGTGAATAGAGACGTGCAGTTAAGACATAAGGAAAAACATGTTTAAATTAAAATCTCTAAAATTTAAATGGATTTTTACTCGGTAGGTTTTATTAGAAAATGGAACCCCAAAACTCAAAATAGGAATTGACCTATCCGAGTTCATTAAAAAAAAATAACCCTAATCAGAGAGGTTGAGTTGGGTTGTTCGATTTTCAATTAGGTTCTCAACCTAGGAACTTCAAAAGACGAAACGATTGAATTCCAACCTTTTAATGGTGGAACCTCCCGAGTTTCTAGAGAAAAATTATGTTGTAGTTTTGCAAGATTTTGAAAATGTTTCAAAGCGGCAAAGGTTTTCTATTCATCTAACGAGAGGTGTGGGTAATGAGGTCACCTTTACAATCTTCTTCCTTCCGTCTCTATGTTGCAGTAAGGTAGAACGGTTTGCTTGAGCTAATATCTCAACTGCCAATAACAACATTTGGATAATTGGATTTAGAAGGAAGGGGTTATTTTGAAATAATTGAAAGTTACGGGGTACATTTATAATAACTTTATACTACTTAAGAGAAAGAGCCCCTGGCGAAGTTCCAACTCTTGAATTTCCGCGCGAAGTTTGCCTTCTCCATCACGTTTTACTCCATCAGTGAACGACCGATTCTTGCTCACTGTCTCCACCGGAAATCGATACGATCAGACTGTCCAATATCAGATTTTCGGTTGAACACGTTCGGAGATTATAATCAGATGGCATATGTAGATTTTGTTTCCGAAAAGTAGATTAAATCGTTTTTTACGCTGATAAGAGACGCCGCCGAAGTAACGATCGAAAAACATGAACAGGAGCAAAACTGTGGAGAACTATGTCAAGAGCATCAAGCAATCGGTTCAGCTCAGTCCCTATCAGACGAAAATGACTGCGAAGGTTTCAATAAACCATCTCTTAGATGCTTCTCGATCAATTTTACTGCTACCGATTATTTGACCTTCAGATTAAATCGTTTTAACTTTCAATATATCCTCATTTAGTTGCATTTGATTCTGCTTCATAACACCTCCACTTTATTTGCCTGTAAATGCGTGTTTTATACTTCCTATTTTGTAATTTTCTTTTGTACTTGAATGAGTAATGGAAGATTGTAACCAAGAGAATTTGGACAAGGTCGTTGAGTCAAAGAAATCTGAATAAAACAACCAGATTGTGCGCTCTTTTCTTCCGGTTTCTCATTGATAATTTTGCCATTCTTGTATCTGCCGGGCGTAATGACATAGCATTTGATTTGGTGTGCGAGTGTCGAGAAAAAAAAAAATTGGTTTCTAGCGTTAACCATCCACGTTGGTGGTTGCTAGACGGATGAAATTAATGCAACCAACTTACAAAGTTTATATTATGAACTGTAGTAGGATTTTCTTACTTTTCAAATCCAGATCGCTAATAAGGTTCAAATTGTTAGTTGTTTCGATATTCATCTTCCTGAAATTCCTTATCTGCAGGTTTGCAAGTAATTCTTGGATTGTGGAGAAGAAACAATATGGTTGGTTTTGGTTACGCCCAAATGTAGGCAAGGACTGTCATTATGGGCGTGCTCTATTTGCTGGGTATGTTTTAAAGATTTAAGCTCTTCTATAGGAGGAGACTGAAAATATGTCTACTGAGGAGGGAGGATCGAGGGGATAGAAAATCAGGTGCGATTTCATGAGCTGGTCTTATTAGGATTACCGTTTTCAATTTTAATTGTTTATGATAGACAATTTCTGGCTGCCTAATACGGTTTTGACTCGATTATGTCTTGGATTTAGCATGCCAGGATAACTAAAACAACATCAACCCTTATGACTCCTGAGTTATGCATGCAATGGAAGAAGAAAAAGTTTGCAGAAAGAGAAGCTTGTTTTGCTGCACTGGCAGAAAGAGCCTCGAATGATCGTCTGAGGTTTTCTTCCCTCGTATCATTGTCGAAACTTTTTGAGTTAATAGCCACTTTGGATAGTGGAAACTTGATCTGCAATTGTGTTAATTTTGATATTCAATGAACAGAATACCAAGTTTTTTCAAAACCAAAACTAAAACTTGCTGCATAATATCATTTAGTAGCCTCTCTCCCTGCTGCAATGGTAGTAACCGTGAACTTTCCTATCTGATTCAAGACAGTTTGTTGATCAAGACAGTTTGTTGATGATGTTGAAGTATGTAACAGGCATAAAAAGAGCAAAGCTCTGATGATAATAGTCTTTGTTGGATGATAAAAGTCCCACATCAGCTAATTTAGAGAATGATCATGGGTTAATAAATAAAGAATACTCTCTCCATTGGTGTGAGGCCTTTTGGAGAAGCCCAAAGCAAAACCATGAGAGCTTATACTCAAAGTGGACAATATCATACCATTGTGGAGAGTCATGTTCGTCTAACATGGTATCAGAGCCATGCCCTAAACTTAGTCGTGCCAATAGATTAGTAAATCCTCAAATGTCGAACAAAGGACTCCAAAAGAAAAAAGAGTCGAGCCTCCTTGAAGGCATAGTAAAAAATGACTACGAACTCCAAAAGAAAAAGGAGTCGAGCCTCGATTAAGGGGAGGCATACTTTGTTCGAGGGGAGGTATTGGATGATGAAAGTCCCACGTCGGCTAATTTAGGGAATGATCATGGGTTTGCTTTTGGGGGAAGCCCAAAGCAAAGCCATGAGAGCTTATGCTCAAAGTGGACAATATCATACCATTGGGGAGAGTCGTGTTCGTCCAACAGTCTTATGGCTTGACATTCGCACTTTAGTTTTAATTCTTTTGACCGAAGCTATGAAATATAAACAGTAGTTTGATAATGTTAGTGAAAATAATGAATTTGAACGTAAAATATCATATTTGTTTCTTTAAGCATATCATCAAACGGACATGTTTGATATGTTATTCCTTTTTTATGTAATACCTTAAATCATTTACTTGGATTTTCTTTACAAACCTTTTTTTGTATGATACTGCATCAAGAATTATCGCATTAAATTATTGAGTTTCTGATTAAGATTGTTGAAAATCTGTTCGATATAGTTTATTTTTTCTTTTATTTTGTATGTTAAATGTAAATATCATTATCTAAATATTTTGTTTCTATTACCAATTATCTCAGTGACCGCCAATGGTGATTAAACTATTTCTGATGAAGATGGTGATGACGATGCCCTGGATTTGGTCCTAAATGAGCTGGAAGCAAGGTGGTCAAAAGACAGACCCAATTACAAGAGTTAGGCGTTTGATGCTCAATGGCTAGCTTAAACATCCTTGCAAATTCAAAGCCTCCACTTGGAACCTTTTGCTTTAGGCAATGGCACTCCATTTGTTGGCACCGTATTAATGATCTTTTACTAGAGAAGGTCTTGGAAGTTGACTTCTGATGTCTTTTTTTTCTTAATGTGAATTTGTGTGATAATCTTGCTCTTGTCTAAAACTGTCTTTGACGCAGGGTCTGCCACTGACAATAATGGAAGGCTTATGTATTCGAATGCTGCTCTGTTCTCTTGACGTGTACAAATAATAGAGACATAAGAGTAAGTCTCCTAATCCTCAACTTTTTTAGGAATTATCTTGCTTTTTGGAGCTCTCTATCTTCTTCGGCTTTCTGTTATACACATCCTGCTTCAGTTTGAGTCTTCTGATCATGTCTCGTACATTCTTCTGCTTCGTGTCTGCTACGGCAGAAACTTAGGCGTCCCATGATTTTAAACACATTTCTAGGCATTATTATAGGATTCCCATGAATAAATTTTGAAAAATATATACTAAGTTTCTTTTTTCCTTTGACATCTAATTATCAAGAAGTATGATTAATTCTTGAACACTCTAATTACTTCATAAGAAATGAAACTTTAGCGTGTTTCAAGCCCATTAACTTTTAAACGAATGTGGTCAACTCAAAATTGAAACCAATCCTATGACAGCTTACAGTTTTAAACCAAGGTTGTATTACTAGTTTAGTTTATTGAAGCTTAACTGGGGAATGAAAATCATTCTCTCTCATTTTCATGGTTGATGTTTGGCTTTACTTTCGGTTTAAAATATTTTAAAATGTGTATAATAAGTAATATTGAAGCCTTTACTTTCAGTTTTTGTTTATTGTACACATTCTTTGATCTCCATACTTTTAAATTGACCACGGATACTTTTAAAAAGTGACCATTTTAATTTTTATTTGTAAAATTTTAAAATACATGATATACCCCATGAAAACAAATTTAATAAGAAATTTAGTGAATGAAGTAATATGCTAAAATTTAATTAACAAAATGGTCGATTTTTTCAAAATTGAAATTGTTTTTGATTTGTGGTCCACTACAAATGAAGAACTTAGAACTGAAGAACTTGGAAGAGCGATTTCTAATATTGTTCTTCCTAAATAGTAAGAGATTGTTTTTTATTTTTCCTTTTTTTTTATAAATTTGTTTTATCTATATGTCTTTATAAGTTTTACACTTAATTAAATTAATGCACATTCTAGAAGGGAAACAAAAACAGCAACGACAGTAACACAAAAATTAATATTTTTTGTGAATCGATTTTTATTATGACTTTCTTTCCTTCTCATTTTTCAATAATGGGCTGAAGCTTCCCACGTATTTATGTTGCATTCACGTTTCTCTTCATGCCCGTAATTATTGTGGCAAAGGTTCATGGTTGTGGGAATCTAATATTCAATCCTATCTTTATTCTTTAGTTTTGTCTTTCTCGTTGACAAAAAAAATAGTTCGTACTATCTTTAATTATGGTTTCACATGGTTAATGTTTTTTTCCCCTGTTGGGTCAATTACCAAGTTACCTTGCCCTCTCATTCTAGATTTCTGCCACTAATTACAAGTTTTATTGTTAATTTTAATATTCTATTTTTTTTTTTTTTTTTTTTTTCAATTTCTGAAATTACTTTCGAATCCCAGGATAAAAGATATTATAAATATATAAAATCTAAAAATAACAAATTTTGTAAATAGAATCTAAGATAAAACATAATAAAAATTTCAGGATTAAGTTCAACCAATGCAATCAAAATACTTTATGGAATTTAAGATCTCAAGGTGGAATGAATGGAGGGACTAGAATGGGTAAGTTAACCATATATATTAGACGTCCGAGATTTATGTTGAAGACTTATAAACAAGTATCTCAATTGACTTCATTTAAGGAAATAAACTTCATGGATGTAGGTCTCCATAAGTAAGCCAAGGAAGAAAAATTAGAAAAAGCTCAGTGACTGGAAATTGAGTGAGTGAGAGAGTCTCTTCTTAAATGTGTTGAAAAAAATTCTTTCCAAAGTGTTTGTCTCTTCCCTTTTATACTAATTTTCTCGAAAAAACTCATCTTAGGTGCAGATGAGACTCTTGATTATTTATTAATTGATTAAATCGCAATGCAATGTTATTAAGCCTCTTAACTCAACAGGTCTTGGATATAAAAGAAATTTAGAATTCCTTCACATTAACGAGTTCTTCATGTTTGTATATCTCCTTCGTCTATCTCTTCCTTAATTCTATATTCTCTTGATATCAATTTACTAACTTGATTTGACTAATTAAGTCTAACAACACCTCGAATGTCAAGTTGGATCATTCGTGACTCTTCCTTAACCGTATTGGCCGCCCGACTTTTTTTCTTTTATAGAAAGTTGACTATCTGTGTCACTTTAAACTTTTAAATTGGGTAAATAATGCAGACAAACAATAGAACAAAAGAAAAGAAAAGAAAAGAAATAAAATCTGGAAAATCTTTGAATAGTCCGAGAACACAGGCATATAGAAAAAACTTGATCCATTGACTGAGGAGACCAAGCTAGGGTGTTGAACTGATATCTTGTCTGGCCTTAGCCCTACACACAAAAAGTTGAATTTGTAAGAGTGGAGGCAGCTGCTGGCTTTGGCAGCTGCTGGCTTTGGCAGCTGCTGGCTTTGGCATTGCACTGTCTCGCACTGAAATGCTTATTATTGAGTACATAAGGCATGTCTACATCAGTTCACAAACATTGCAGTGCATTTTTTTAATGTAGATTTATGTAAACTGAAGTTACAAAAAATCCAAGCTTATAACCACTGCAGATTAGCTTAATTATCTAAGAGCCAAGTTAAACAATAAAGGGGTAAGAAGCCAAAGGAATGGGTAGTGGTAGTTATCCAACTAGTTTTTTTCGGCAACCAAATATATTAGGATCAGGTAATTGTTCTACGAGAATAGTCGAAGTGTATGCACGCTGGCCTAAACACTCATAGATATTTAAAAAAACTCAAGTCTATGAAATCTATGCTTTGCGTTAAATTTATCAACCAAATACAAGCTATACCAACTTGATTTTTATTTTTTGAGTAAGAAACATAAGGATGTTTCCCCTTTTTGTTTAATTTTGACAATCCTAGACATTACCAGTCTTAGGCTTTCATAAACTCGAACTTATTAAAACTATAAGTTAAAGTTGAGTGGGTTTGAAAATAGATAGGAGAATTGTATTTTTAGATGAAATATTTTCATGAGAATGTGTTTCCTAAGTTATCTTAGGTGATGTGCATTATATGTAGGATTGAAGTTTGTGAATAATTAGATCGGTGTTTTCTTGTGGATGATTAGGATATTATAGAAAGATATGCATAATAGGTTCTCCTTCTTCATGCATTGTGAATTTACACCGTAGAAAACCACGAAATATAAAGAGATTCACTTATGTATCATCTCGTGATTTCTTTTTTAGTATAACAAATGGGGTCGGAGAATTTAGACTTCCACTACAAGAAAAAGAACAAATGTCAATTATTGTTGAGTTATGCTTATTTTTGCGTCATCCCTTGAATTGTATGAGCCATATTTTCAGCCTGCATAACAAAGTATCTAAGGGCTTAATTTGGTTGGTTTTATTCCAAAGAAATTATAATTTTTTTTTTTTTTTTTTTTTTTTTTTTTTTTTTTTTTTTTTTTTTTTTTTTGTAGACAATATTCTTTGTTATTTTATTAACTTTCATTTTTTTTTTTTTTAAAAATTCTAAACAAATATCTTAATATAAATTTAAAAGTGTTGGGCAAATTTTGTTTCAAACTTTTCTTGGATTTTAACAACTAAAATTGAGTGGTAGACAAAGATAAGACATGGAGACAAAGCTAAAAATATAAATATTTCAATCATTGAGGCATCGTTTAATTTTTCCCACTTCATATGGACTGATCTCAAGAGCATGCATGATTTGATTGTCCAATGGTGAATTTAAGTAACATAAAATTATTTCTTTATTGCACAAGATTGTTATATAGTAGAGATCAAGCATGGTTGCATAATGTAGTAGGTTTAACCATGGCATGTGAACAACATAGAAATACTATTTATACATAGTAGAATAAAACTGGTAGCATACACTCATCATAATGATCTCATTGGCTGCATTGAGTTTGGGCGCATAGTCGTCTAGGATATGGTTCTTCTGTTGTTGCTCGATCCACGCCCCTTTGTTTCTGTTGTCCTGCTAATTTTGATGCAAATCCAACCACCTTCTCAAAGAACTTGGATATTATTTTTAGTTTGATACTTCCTCTTTTGGGAGGCAGCCTGCCCTTCCTTGGTTTAGACCTGGTTGGTCTAGTAGTTTCCTCCATTGCCATTCAATCGCAAAGCTAAAGATTGAGAAAGAGGAGATTCTTTGCCTTTTGAGCTTTTATAGTTTTATGTGTAGGGTATATATATATATAGTAATGAATGTAAGCCGTGTCTTCTGTTTGTGTAAACAATTATTATCCTTTTGCTTTGTCTTTTTGTTCTATCAGAGTTCAATTAACTGAAAGGAGAGTTATATATTTGGACAAGGAAAAGAGTTATACCAGTTCGGTCAATGTATATTATTTGTCTAGAGTCATAAGCTTGCTAGGGAAAATGGGCTGTGTGCTGATTCAGTTTTCGTGGTTATGGAGAAGCATCATTTTATGCTTGTCCCCTTGAAAAGGACTTCAAAAGATTTTGCAAGCAGCACAGCAGACAACCCTAATCGCTGTCTTCCTCAGGTTGTCGGTAATATAAAAGTTACAAAAGTACTGCGAAACTTAGGCCGAATCTTCAACAATTCTCATGCATCATTCTCTCTATGGCCTTTCATCGAGCATTTGCTCTGCATTTCGACTGAAATTCATGTTTTAACCATTTCATGAGCTCTTTCCAACAGGCCTGCAAGAACTAACAGCCTTCTAGCTAACCAAACTCACACACGACCATTTTATTTAAGATCTTCAGCTAAATTTGTTATTTGTGATGATGCAGGAGTACGTAAAGCTGATATTGGACAAAAGAGAATGTGGAAAAATCAGCAGAACAAGATTGAAGAAGATCTTGCAATTAACATTATGTTCAGATGGGACTCAGTTTTCAACAATGCCACAGCTGATGAACATGGAGATGTCTGTTAAAAGCTAAACAAAAGCAAAATAAAAAATTCGATCTTTTCTGACGTTGCATCCCCCATGCGTCCATTTGAACGGAGAAGTGGGTTCCAACTCATAGTATTAGTAGCTTTGCTTGGATTAGAATAATCCACTCAAGTGAGTGAACTTTGTGTTGAACATTATTAAGAGAAGTAGTTCCACGTTGGCTAGTTAAGAGAAGGATCATGAGTTTATAAGTAAGTAAACCTAATCTCTATTGGTATGATGTTTTTTGAGAAAATTAAAAGTAAAGTCACGAGAGGTTATGTTTAAGATAGACAATATCATACTATGAAAAACTTACCATAATTCATTGTGAAACCGAAATTTCTGGCATTATTGGTCAAGAAATAAGCCTAAAATTTGGGTCTGTGCATTCCTTTAAAGCTCTCTGTTTCCCGAATAGGCCTAAATGGGAGTCGGAACTCTGTTGATATTTGGTTTGCATCATATATATATATATATTTTTTTATTTTTTTTTGTCTATGTTTGGCTAATAATTACTTAGGTCAATAAGATCACTTATAATAAGGAAGTGTTTTTGTAGACCATTTTTATTAAACTTGGAGCTGGATGAGTGGGATAAGAAAATTTATTCTCGTTGAAGTGGTAAGTTTTTGGGAATATTGATATTTTTTTTATAGAAAAATTCATTTTTTCTCTTTACCAAGTTTTGATTAGAGACTAATGAAATTTAAGTCATAACTTTAATTGAATCATGAAAATAGAATCCAACTACAACTTATACCAATAAATTGTACGTTTATTTTAGTGGCTGAATCATAGAAAAATCTAAATTAAATGTTTTGGTTTACCTTTTAAAAATTATAATAAGAAATATATAAATGACAACAAAATATGTTGGAGGAACTGGTGTGACGCCCCGGTAAACTGAATACTTCAATCTCTTCCCATTTTTATTTTACTTCAATCTACTCCGTCTACTTGAAAAGAAATTGTCCCCGTTTCATGTGGAGAAAACCCAGTTGTTTGAGAAGCTGTTGCGGTGCTTCAAGAGATGCTTCAGGAGATTCTTACTTATGAAATATGGGGCTAAATTTGCTCATCTTTGGTGCCTTTTCTTATATTTTCAAGGATGCTGAGCAGTTCTTGATGATTATCCGCATCCTCCGAGTCCACTGAGGACCTTTAGTGTGTAAGACTAACGTGATAACCACTACATCACAGCAACTTCACACACAAGTTTTGCACTAGGCAAGTAAAATTGTGCTCTAAGTATAAACTTAATGCAACTAGTTTAATAAATAAAAGGAATGAACTTACTATATTGCACTTCATGCAACTAATTTTAATAAATAAAATAAATGAACTTACTATATATTGCTGCCCAGGATCGAACTAGGACCTTTAGTGTGTAAGACTAACGTGATAACCACTACACCACAGCAACTTGACATACAAGTTGTGCACTAGGCAAGTAAATTTGTGCAGTTTAATAAAAGGAATGAACTAACTAGATATTGCTGCCCAGGATCAAACTAAGGACCTTTAGTGTGTAAGACTAACATGATAACCACTACACCACAGCAACTTGACATACAAGTTGTGCACTAGGCAAGTAAATTTGTGCAGTTTAATAAAAGGAATGAACTAACTAGATATTGCTGCCCAGGATCAAACTAAGGACCTTTAGTGTGTAAGACTAACATGATAACCACTACACCACAGCAACTTGACATACAAGTTGTGCACTAGGCAAGTAAATTTGTGCAGTTTAATAAAAGGAATGAACTAACTAGATATTGCTGCCCAGGATCAAACTAAGGACCTTTAGTGTGTAAGACTAACATGATAACCACTACACCACAGCAACTTGACACACAAGTTGTGCACTAGGCAAGTAAATTTGTGCAGTTTAATAAAAGGAATGAACTAACTAGATATTGCTGCCCAGGATCAAACTAAGGACCTTTAGTGTGTAAGACTAACGTGATAACCACTACACCACAGCAACTTGACACACAAGTTGTGCACTAGGCAAGTAAATTTGTGCAGTTTAATAAAAGGAATGAACTAACTAGATATTGCTGCCCAGGATCAAACTAAGGACCTTTAGTGTGTAAGACTAACATGATAACCACTACACCACAGCAACTTGACATACAAGTTGTGCACTAGGCAAGTAAATTTGTGCAGTTTAATAAAAGGAATGAACTAACTAGATATTGCTGCCCAGGATCAAACTAAGGACCTTTAGTGTGTAAGACTAACATGATAACCACTACACCACAGCAACTTGACATACAAGTTGTGCACTAGGCAAGTAAATTTGTGCAGTTTAATAAAAGGAATGAACTAACTAGATATTGCTGCCCAGGATCAAACTAAGGACCTTTAGTGTGTAAGACTAACATGATAACCACTACACCACAGCAACTTGACATACAAGTTGTGCACTAGGCAAGTAAATTTGTGCAGTTTAATAAAAGGAATGAACTAACTAGATATTGCTGCCCAGGATCAAACTAAGGACCTTTAGTGTGTAAGACTAACATGATAACCACTACACCACAGCAACTTGACATACAAGTTGTGCACTAGGCAAGTAAATTTGTGCAGTTTAATAAAAGGAATGAACTAACTAGATATTGCTGCCCAGGATCAAACTAAGGACCTTTAGTGTGTAAGACTAACATGATAACCACTACACCACAGCAACTTGACATACAAGTTGTGCACTAGGCAAGTAAATTTGTGCAGTTTAATAAAAGGAATGAACTAACTAGATATTGCTGCCCAGGATCAAACTAAGGACCTTTAGTGTGTAAGACTAACATGATAACCACTACACCACAGCAACTTGACATACAAGTTGTGCACTAGGCAAGTAAATTTGTGCAGTTTAATAAAAGGAATGAACTAACTAGATATTGCTGCCCAGGATCAAACTAAGGACCTTTAGTGTGTAAGACTAACATGATAACCACTACACCACAGCAACTTGACATACAAGTTGTGCACTAGGCAAGTAAATTTGTGCAGTTTAATAAAAGGAATGAACTAACTAGATATTGCTGCCCAGGATCAAACTAAGGACCTTTAGTGTGTAAGACTAACATGATAACCACTACACCACAGCAACTTGACATACAAGTTGTGCACTAGGCAAGTAAATTTGTGCAGTTTAATAAAAGGAATGAACTAACTAGATATTGCTGCCCAGGATCAAACTAAGGACCTTTAGTGTGTAAGACTAACATGATAACCACTACACCACAGCAACTTGACATACAAGTTGTGCACTAGGCAAGTAAATTTGTGCAGTTTAATAAAAGGAATGAACTAACTAGATATTGCTGCCCAGGATCAAACTAAGGACCTTTAGTGTGTAAGACTAACATGATAACCACTACACCACAGCAACTTGACATACAAGTTGTGCACTAGGCAAGTAAATTTGTGCAGTTTAATAAAAGGAATGAACTAACTAGATATTGCTGCCCAGGATCAAACTAAGGACCTTTAGTGTGTAAGACTAACATGATAACCACTACACCACAGCAACTTGACATACAAGTTGTGCACTAGGCAAGTAAATTTGTGCAGTTTAATAAAAGGAATGAACTAACTAGATATTGCTGCCCAGGATCAAACTAAGGACCTTTAGTGTGTAAGACTAACATGATAACCACTACACCACAGCAACTTGACATACAAGTTGTGCACTAGGCAAGTAAATTTGTGCAGTTTAATAAAAGGAATGAACTAACTAGATATTGCTGCCCAGGATCAAACTAAGGACCTTTAGTGTGTAAGACTAACATGATAACCACTACACCACAGCAACTTGACATACAAGTTGTGCACTAGGCAAGTAAATTTGTGCAGTTTAATAAAAGGAATGAACTAACTAGATATTGCTGCCCAGGATCAAACTAAGGACCTTTAGTGTGTAAGACTAACATGATAACCACTACACCACAGCAACTTGACATACAAGTTGTGCACTAGGCAAGTAAATTTGTGCAGTTTAATAAAAGGAATGAACTAACTAGATATTGCTGCCCAGGATCAAACTAAGGACCTTTAGTGTGTAAGACTAACATGATAACCACTACACCACAGCAACTTGACATACAAGTTGTGCACTAGGCAAGTAAATTTGTGCAGTTTAATAAAAGGAATGAACTAACTAGATATTGCTGCCCAGGATCAAACTAAGGACCTTTAGTGTGTAAGACTAACATGATAACCACTACACCACAGCAACTTGACATACAAGTTGTGCACTAGGCAAGTAAATTTGTGCAGTTTAATAAAAGGAATGAACTAACTAGATATTGCTGCCCAGGATCAAACTAAGGACCTTTAGTGTGTAAGACTAACATGATAACCACTACACCACAGCAACTTGACATACAAGTTGTGCACTAGGCAAGTAAATTTGTGCAGTTTAATAAAAGGAATGAACTAACTAGATATTGCTGCCCAGGATCGAACTAGGGACCTTTAGTGTGTAAGACTAACGTGATAACCACTACACCACAGCAACTTGACACACAAGTTGTGCACTAGGCAAGTAAATTTGTGCAGTTTAATAAAAGGAATGAACTAACTAGATATTGTTGCCCAGGATCAAACTAAGGACCTTTTAACCACTACACCACAGCAACTTGACACACAAGTTGTGCACTAGGCAAGTAAATTTGTGCTCTAAGTATAAACTTAATGCAACTAATTTTAATGAATAAAATAAATGAACTTACTATATATTGCTGCCCAGGATCGAACTGGGGACCTTTAGTGTGTAAGACTAACGTGATAACCACTACACTACAGCAACTTGACATACAAGTTGTGCACTAGGCAAGTAAATTTGTCGTGATAACCACTACACCGCAACAACTTGACACGCAAGTTGTGCACTAGGCAACTAAATTTGTGCTCTAAGTATACACATAAAGAAACTAGTTTAATAAAAAGTAATAAACTTACTATATTGCTGCCCAGGATCGAACTGGGGACCTTTAGTGTGTAAGACTAACGTGATAACCACTACACCACAGCAACTTGACACACAAGTTGTGCACTAGGCAAGTAAATTTGTGCTCTAAGTATAAACTTCATGCAACTAATTTTAATAAATAAAATAAATGAACTTACTATATATTGCTGCCCAGGATTGAACTAAGAACCTTTAGTGTGTAAAACTAACGTGATAACCACTACCTATATATTGCTGCCCAGGATTGAACTAAGAACCTTTAGTGTGTAAAACTAACGTGATAACCACTACACCGCAGCAACTTGACACACAAGTGGTGCACTAGGCAACTAAATTTGTGCTCTAAGTATACACATAAAGAAACTAGTTTAATAAAAAGTAATAAACTTACTATATTGCTGCCCACGATCGAACTGGGGACCTTTAGTGTGTAAGACTAACGTGATAACCACTACACCACAGCAACTTGACACACAAGTTGTGCACTAGGCAAGTAAATTTGTGCTCTAAGTATAAACTTCATGCAACTAATTTTAATAAATAAAATAAATGAACTTACTATATTGCTGCCCAGGATCAAACTAGGGACCTTTAGGATCAAACTAGGGACCTTTAGCGTGTAAGACTAAAGTGATAACCACTACATCACAACAACTTCACACACAAGTTTTGCACTAGGCAAGTAAATTTGTGCTCTAAGTATAAACTTCATGCAACTAATTTTAATAAAAAAAATATATGAACTTACTATATATTGCTGCCCAGGATCGAACTGGGGACCTTTAGTGTGTAAGACTAACATGATAACCACTACACCACAGCAACTTGACATACAAGTTGTGCACTAGGCAAGTAAATTTGTGCTCTATGATAACCACTACACCACAGCAACTTGACATACAAGTTGTGCACTAGGCAAGTAAATTTGTGCTCTAAGTATAAACTTAATGCAACTAATTTTAATAAATAAAATAAATGAACTTACTATATATTTTGCTGCCCAGGATCGAACTGGGGACCTTTAATGTGTAAGACTAACGTGATAACCACTACACTGTAGCAACTTGACACACAAGTTGTGCACTAGGCAACTAAATTTGTGCTCTAAGTATAAACATAAAGAAACTAGTTTAATAAAAGAAATGAACTTACTATATATTGTTACACAGGATCAAACTGGGGACCTTTAGTGTGTAAGACTAACGTGATAACCACTACACCACAGCAACTTGACACACAAGTTGTGCACTAGGCAAGTAAATTTGTGTTCTAAGTATAAACTTCATGCAACTAATTTTAATAAATAAAATAAATGAACTTACTATATATTGCTGCCCAGGATCGAACTAAGGACCTTTAGTGTTTAAAACTAACGTGATAACCACTACACCGCAGCAACTTGACACACAAGTGGTGCACTAGGCAACTAAATAAAACTAACGTGATAACCACTACACCGCAGCAACTTGACACACAAGTGGTGCACTAGGCAACTAAATTTGTGCTCTAAGTATAAACATAAAGAAACTAGTTTAATAAAAAGTAATAAACTTACTATAATGCTGCGCAGGATCGGAACTGGGGACCTTTAGTGTGTAAGACTAACGTGATAACCACTACACCACAGCAACTTGACACACAAGTTGTGCACTAGGCAAGTAAATTTGTGCTCTAAGTATAAACTTCATGCAACTAATTTTAATAAATAAAATAAATGAACTTACTATATATTGCTGCCCAGGATCGAACTGGGGACCTTTAGTGTGTAAGACTAACGTGATAACCACTACACCACAGCAACTTGACACACAAGTTGTGCACTAGGCAAGTAAATTTGTGCTCTAAGTATAAACTTCATGCAACTAATTTTAATAAATAAAATAAATGAACTTACTATATTTGCTACCCAGGATCGAACTAGGGACCTTTAGCGTGTAAGACTAAAGTGATAACCACTACACCACAACAACTTGACACATAAGTTGTGCACTAGTCAAGTAAATTTGTGCTCTAAGTATAAACTTAATGGAACTAGTTTAATTAATAAATAAGAGGAATGAACTTACCATATTGCTGCCCAGGATTGAACTGGGGACCTTTAGTGTGTAAGACTAACGTGATAACCACTACACCACAGCAACTTAACACATAAGTTGTGCACTAGGCAAGTAAATTTGTGCTCTAAATATAAACTTAATGAAACTAGTTTAATAAATAAAATGAAAGAACTTACTATATTGCTGCCTAGGATCGAACTGGAGACTTTTAGTGTGTAAGACTAACGTGATAACCACTACACCACAGCAACTTGACACACAAGTTGTGCACTAGGCAACTAAATTTGTGCTCTAAGTATAAACTTCATGCAGCTAATTTTAATAAATAAAATAAATGAACTTACTATATATTGCTGCCCAGGATCGAACTAGGGACCTTTAGTGTGTAAGACTAACGTGATAACCACTACACCACAGCAACTTGACATACAAGTTATGCACTAGGCAAGTAAATTTGTGCTCTAAGTATAAACTTAATGCAACTAATTTTAATAAATAAAATAAATGAACTTACTATATATTGCTGCCTAGGATCGAATTGGGGACTTTTAGTGTGTAAGACTAACGTGATAACCACTACACCACAGCAACTTCACACACAAGTTTTGCACTAGGCAAGTAAAATTGTGCTCTAAGTATAAACTTAATGCAACTCAACTTCACACACAAGTTTTGCACTAGGCAAGTAAAATTGTGCTCTAAGTATAAACTTAATGCAACTAGTTTAATAAATAAAAGGAATGAACTTACTATATTGCTACCCAGAATCAAACTAGGGACCTTTAGTTTGTAAGACTAACATGATAACCACTACACCACAACAACTTAACACATAAGTTGTGCACTAGGCAAGTAAATTTGTGCTCTAAGTATAAACTTCATGCAACTAATTTTAATAAATAAAATAAATGAACTTACGATATTGCTGCCCAGGATCGAACTAGGGACCTTTAGTGTGTAAGACTAATGTGATAACCACTACACCACAGCAACTTGACACACAAGTTGTGCACTAGGCAAGTAAATTTGTGCAGTTTAATAAAAGGAATGAACTAACTAGATATTGCTGCCCAGGATCAAACTAAGGACCTTTTAACGTGATAACCACTACACCACAGCAACTTGACACACAAGTTTTGCACTAGGCAAGTAAAATTGTGCTCTAAGTATAAACTTAATGCAACTAGTTTAATAAATAAAAGGAAATAACTTACTATATTGCTACCCAGGATCGAACTGGGGATTTTTAGTGTGTAAGACTAACGTGATAACCACTACACCACAGCAACTTGATACACAAGTTGTGCACTAGGCAACTAAATTTGTGCTCTAAATATAAACATAAAGAAACTAGTTTAATAAAAAGTAATAAACTTACTATATTGCTGCCCAGGATCGAACTGGGGACCTTTAGTGTGTAAGACTAACGTGATAACCACTACACCACAGCAACTTGACACACAAGTTGTGCACTAGGCAAGTAAATTTGTGCAGTTTAATAAAAGGAATGAACTAACTAGATATTGCTGCCCAGGATCAAACTACAAGTTGTGCACTAGGCAAGTAAATTTGTGCAGTTTAATAAAAGGAATGAACTAACTAGATATTGCTGCCCAGGATCAAACTAAGGACCTTTTAACGTGATAACCACTACACCACAGCAACTTGACACACAAGTTGTGCACTAGGCAAGTAAATTTGTGCTCTAAGTATAAACTTAATGCAACTAATTTTAATGAATAAAATAAATGAACTTACTATATATTGCTGCCCAGGATCGAACTGGGGACCTTTAGTGTGTAAGACTAACGTGATAACCACTACACCACAGCAACTTGACACACAAGTTGTGCACTAGGCAAGTAAATTTGTGCAGTTTAATAAAAGGAATGAACTAACTAGATATTGCTGCCCAGGATCAAACTAAGGACCTTTAGTGTGTAAGACTAACGTGATAACCACTACATCACAGCAACTTCACACACAAGTTTTGCACTAGGCAAGTAAAATTGTGCTCTAAGTATAAACTTAATGCAACTAGTTTAATAAATAAAAGGAATGAACTTACTATATTGCTGCCCAAGATCAAACTGGGTGGCAAGTAAAATTGTGCTCTAAGTATAAACTTAATGCAACTAGTTTAATAAATAAAAGGAATGAACTTACTATATATTGCTGCCCAGGATCAAACTGGGGACCTTTAGTGTGTAAGACTAACGTGATAACCACTACACCACAACAACTTGACATACAAGTTGTGCACTAGGCAAGTAAATTTGTGCTCTAAGTATAAACTTAATGCAACTAATTTTAATAAATAAAATAAATGAACTTACTATATATTGCTGCCCAGGATCAAACTGGGGACCTTTAGTGTGTAAGACTAACGTGATAACCACTACACTGTAGCAACTTGACACACAAGTTGTGCACTAGGCAACTAAATTTGTGCTCTAAGTATAAACATAAAGAAACTAGTTTAATAAAAAGTAATAAACTTACTATAACTAAATTTGTGCTCTAAGTATAAACATAAAGAAACTAGTTTAATAAAAAGTAATAAACTTACTATATTGCTGCCCAGGATCGAACTGGGGACCTTTAGTGTGTAAGACTAACGTGATAACCACTAAACCACAAAAACTTAACACATAAGTTGTGCACTAGGCAAGTAATTTTGTGCTCTAAGTATAAACTTAATGCAACTAATTTTAATAAATAAAATAAATGAACTTGCTATATATTGCTGCCCAGGATCAAACTGGGGACCTTTAGTGTGTAAGACTAACGTGATAACCACTACACCACATTTGTGCTCTAAGTATAAACTTAATGAATCTAGTTTAAATTAAAGGAATGAATTTAATGAAACTAGGTTAAATAAAAAGAATGAACTTACTACTATATTGCGGCCAAATTCAAACTGGACCTTTAGCGTGTAAGACTAACGTGATAACCACTACACCATAGCAACTTGACACATAAGTTGTGCACTAGGAAAGTAAATTTGTGCTCGAAGTATAAACTTAATGAAACTAGTTTAAATAAAAAGAATGAATTTAATGAAACTAGATTTTAGGTTAAAATAAAAAAAATGAACTTAATATTTTTCTACCCAGGATTGAAATGGGGACCTTTAGTGTGTAAGGCTAATGTGATAATCACTACATGCAACTTAACACATAAGTTGTGCACTAGTCAAGTAAATTTGTGCTCTAAGTATAAACTTAATGAATCTAGTTTAAATAAAAGGAATGAATTTAATGAAACTAGGTTAAAATTAAAAGAATAAACTTACTATTGCTGCCCAAGATTGAACTAGGATCTTTAGTGTGTAAAACTAACGTGATAACCACTCCACCATAGCAACTTGACACATAAGTTGTGCACTAGGTGAGTAAATTTGTGCTCTAAGTCTAAACTTAATGAAACTAGTTTAAATAAAAGGAATGAACGGAATGAAACTAGGATAAATAAAAAGAATAAACTTATTATATTGCTGCCCAGGATCAAACGGGGGACCTTTAGGGTGTAAGACCAACGTGATAACCCACTACACCACAGCAACTAGACACAAACGGTGCATTAGGCAAGTAATTTGTTTTATATTTTGAAAGTAGCCTTCTCAGATTCTGTATGTTAACCATAGTTTCAAAATACTTCATAATAGCCATAGCATTCTTTTTCCATTTTTTAAAACAGGGCTCAAATTTGAGTGAACTGAATTGATAAATGTAAGCAGGAGAAATGAAGGCAGAGAAAAATTTTAAAAATAAAATCCATAAAGATAGCAGCTCTTGTGTCATCGATCATACTCGGCATACAGATCTCAATATGTACAAATTTTTCATTACAAATGGAAAGCAAATATCGTAATAATTTAAGTAAACAATCAAAATCGCCAAAGCAAATGTAGAAGTAACTCTCCAAAACCTCTCGAACAGAAGGCAAGATTCGATTTCTCAAACAGAAATAATAGTATCGAAATCAAAACCTAGAGAGTTCGATTAACCAACAAAAGAAGAACAAACCAAGGCAGAACAGGGAATCCGTCCATGTCAAACGAATCAATACAACAGAAATCCACTCAAGATATAAAATAAATCAAAAAGCGGAATCGGAAATCTGAATACAATGGAGAATCACTGGAAAGACCAAAAAGAAAGTACAGAGAAACGCAAAGAAAGCGAGATTCAGAGAAATGGACGCAGAATTCAAATCTAAATAGTAATAGGATTACCTTAAGTGGATCAGAGCCGAAGAGCTCCTCGATTTGAGTATACTGTGAGAGAGTCTAACCAGAAGAACTCCGTCGCCATTGATTCCTTCCTCTTCATTGCTTTACTCCCAGTTATCTTCTTAACAAGTACACGAAATGATTTTATAAGCGTTACAAATGAAAATACTCAAAAGAGTTTGTTTTATTAATAATGATAATTAACGTTACCATTATTTTCATATTTTCCTTTCTTTTTTTTTTCTTTTTTTTTTTTTTACATCTGAAATATTAAGTTGCGGTAATAAAATATTTAATAGGAAGTAAAAATGTTATTTATTTATTTATTTTCAAAATATTCAACACCACCAACGTTACTTTCACACACCTATTTTGACCGCATAATTATTTTTTTTCAAGTGAAAAATATTCTTTAGACAGTTGTAAAAATCTCTATCTCACAGACTGTTTTAAAACTATAAGACTAATGACGATACATAAGAGATCAAAGTAAACATAAACCATCCCCTTCTTGTCATCATCACATCACTTGTAACATTCCAAACCAACTGCTTGAAAATAATCCGCGCCGATAATCTCACAATTTTAAAATATCTTTTAAGAAGAAAACATTCCTTACAAGCCTTACAAGCCGTTAATCTCACCATTTTAAAATATCTTTTAGGAAGAAAACATTCCTATCATCATCAACTTCCTGTCATCATCCTATCACATCACCTATAACAGCCTAAGTCCATTGCTAGAAGATATTGTTTGACCCATTACATATTATCATCAGCTTCACAGTTTTAAAACGTGTATGTTAGGAAGAAAACGTTCCTTACAAGGGTGAGACTAATGACAATACGTAACGAGTCAAAACAAACAATATCTGTTAGTAGTAAGTTTGAACGGTTACATCACCTATTTCATATCTGGAAAAGATCTTTAAACCAACTTAGGCATTCAAAGCTGCTTTCTATAGATAACATCAAGAATTTACAAACATGTACAAATGAGTTAAATACAATATTCATGGAAGACTTCAAATCAAACTATATAAACTTCACCACCACTCATTACCAGTCTACAATTAACTCAAAGACTGGTTTTCTTTTTCTTCAGAAATGGGAGTGGGAAGAAACAGCTGCAAGCCTTCTCTAGATTTCACTAAATTTTAGCCGAATGAATTTCAGTCCTGTTGTCAAGTCATCTCATTGCAAAAGGACTGTTCATTTGGAGAAAAAACTACTTATTAAGTGACATTATATTATGTACGAACCGATCACTTATCTTAGGTGCGTATCGTAGGCATTGAAAAGGGAGTCCGGAACAATCGTAGGTAACTTATCTACGTACTTGAAAAACCTTTTGAGGTTCTCTCGAGTCACCGTTGCCATGTCCATGATGTCCCTGTTATCAGTAAATACCCAGAGATCGCCCGAGTTTACTCTCTTAAGACTGTCACGACAGAAGGGGCATGACTGGGAACGTGTTCGCCTGAAGAACATTCACTAGAACAATGTAATTATTTGAAGTCGATATAAGGTAGCAAAAGCAGTTAAATGCAGTCAGTCATAAATATTAAGGGCTCCATCCAATCAATTAAAGATGAACAAAAGGCTTTCGACTCTGTAGGTTCTGTAATTAACGAAGACAATAAATATTAAGGTGCATAGGAAAATTTTAATTAATCCTTCTTAGTTCTTAGTTTAATAAGCTACCGATAAAACAGAAAAAGTAGAACAAAAGAGATGATAGTACCATTCACGGTAACATTTCAAGCACAACGCGTGGTTGCAGTTGGGCAATACAACCTTGCTAGTAGTCTCCATGCATATTCCACATTCTTCTTCTCGTTCAATGTCAGCATCCGAACACTGTATACATTCATTGTCATCTCTTCTTCGGTACCTTTCCATGCAGACAGCATTCTGTTTTTTATCCTCAGTATCGGTAACACCTCTCTGAAGTTGCAATAGAGAGGGGTAAATAACAGCTGATCATAGCACAAATTACAGAAGTCAGTAGTTAAAAAATAAATATATAGCAAACAATCATATGATGGAAAAAGTAAAATACTCGCATACTACCATAGAATTCCCTGATGCTTGCTTTTCTCTCGTGGGTGGACATCGTGGTCGTACCATCCACATAGACCTGCAGCACAATGTACATAGTGAATTCAACAACGCTAAATAGATATAAAAGTGATGATGTTGAAATGTAATGCTAGGAGACCACGAGGTGACAAACTTTACCTTGTAAATTAAAATCCTCAGCAGTCCAAGAGCACCTGCAAGATGGCAATCTGTCCATTGCACTAGGAAGAGGAACAAGTGAGCAGCAGGACTGTATGACATTCTCATCTGAAGGCAGGGGCCATCATATTCCCCGGGAAACTCCGATGCCCTACAGCTCAGGAACAGTAAACATTAAGCTGACATACTTGAAAAACCAGCAACCTCAAGAATCTCCAAGAACAACAAACCAGAGAGAAATCACAAGTGTTCACACATTTCAGCTTATGATGTATTTGTAACTTTTCATACCTGGAACAAAGCATGATCCATAACATAAAAACTACGGCCCATTGGAACATGTTTTTTTTTCTTTTCTTTTCTGTCTTTTATTCTCTTTAAGAAGAAAACAAAAAAAAGACGGATCACATTTCTCAAATTTTCAAATTTAAAAAGAACAAAAAAAACCAAGCTTGTGCTTAGTAATTTTTTTGAAGTATAAAGTATGCCTTGTTTATTCATTATCACACTTCAAAGAGTAGATGCAGCTGAGAATATTTGTTAAACCACCACTAAAGTTCTCTATCTATAATCATTTACAAACAAGATTTTGGCTATAATAAAAGGGCAAATATGAGTCGTAACGGAGATATTTGCCAATAATAAAGGTTAAATATCGCAATAATAAAGGTTAAATATGATACATATGATAAACCATAATTCAAGGCACATCTGGAGAGCTAGGAAGAACAAGATTAAATGAGTTCTAAACTACTCTCTCAGAGAAAGTACTGCATAGTTCAAGAGACGAGGTACATAATCTGCACCACAAGTCCACAGTGGGATGCAGAAATCTTAGAGAACACATCAACAATAAACCCAAGAACAATTCATGAGAATGATGACAAACTATTTGAAGTGTGACATATACATTGCCAAATCATCCAACGCCAAATGACCAAACAATTTCCCTTTCAAGAAATAGAACTATAAAACAGAGAGAGAAACGCAAATTTGTCTCTATATGTGCATATGAGCGTTAGCAAGACAGAAACCAAATCATCATTGAAATAAAATATTACACAAAATGAGTTTGCCAAGCTCCAAACACAGCAGGTAAACGACAATCACGTTCCCAAAATTCATTATTAACGAAGAGTATACGGCTCATAAACAGCAACTTCAAGACCCACAATACTTAAAATCAAACCTAGAAACTGCATTACAAGCAAAATCGGAGGGAGAAGCCCAGACACCAAAAGTGATCAGACAAAAGCCTTCCATATACAGTCAAAGACGATATTCAAAGCAGAGAAAGGAAAAAAAAAAAAAAAAAAAAAAAAAAAAAAAGAAGAAGAAGAATCAAAGCTCACTTACAGAGTATTAGCATGCTGAATATCAGCTTCAAGCAATTTGAGAGAGTCCTTGAACGATTTTCTCATGGAAGATACATACATCTCCACCCAAACGGGGAAGAAACAAGCAAAACCGAACAAATTCCTCCAAATTTCCGCTCCAAAAACGCGAAGAAAAAACCCTAATTCGCTATCGAAGAAAGAAAAAGACCCTCTGTCTCTATCTCTATCTAGAAGTGGGTAGGGAGCGTGCGAGCTCCGTTTTCTCTCTCTCTCTCTCTCTCTCTCTCTAGAAGAGTGTGCGCATTTTAGAGCTTCGTGTTGCTTCGGAGTACCTCTTGAAGGCGAAGGTAGAGAGTGGGGAGGGACACGTGGAAGATGGACGGCTCGTCGAGAAGCGTCGGAAGAAATAAAATATTATAAAAATTAATTATACGATCGAGATAATACTCAATTAAGAAAGCAAAAAAAATTAGCGAAACGCAGCGTTTTGGAGACGGCCTTATCCATTTTTCTGCCAACCGGTTTTATGGGATATGTGTGTCTGCCACTTTACCACTATCACCTCTGAAATTACCATTTCACCCCTTTCTTCTATTTAATATTAAGGCGATAAAAGACAAAATATTATCGTAATCCAAATATATTTAATTTTAAACATGCTCAAAATCAATTTCATAAATAATAAACTAATAATAATAAGGAAAATTAATTTCTTTTAATAGAAATTGAATTATGCTGGTTAACACTATGATTTGAAATTTAATTCTCTAGCATATTAACATATATTAATTTTTATTTCTTAATTAATAAAGAACTATAAATCTATATATATACTTAATTTCTAATTTTATTTACAAAAATTATTTTTAAATGCAAATAAATTAATACGAACTTGATTAAAAATACAAAAAATGAATACCATCCATACTTAAATTTATAGTTCAAAAGAAAAATAATGTTTATGCATTTATAAATAATTTATATATTCAAAATTAGAATTAACAAATTAGGTCCGTACTTTTTATGTTTTATATAATAAAATTATTTTCAAGGTCAAACTTACTTTAAAAAAATAAAGAAGACGTGGTAGAATTAAATTTCTATTTAAATAGTAAATTCGATCAAAAATTTATTCGATATTGAAATATTAGAATAACTTTCCAATCAAACGAGGTTAATAAGGTAATTCATATCTTTATTCTTTTAAAAAATTTAATTTATTTAAAATTCTCAATTAAAAAATGGCAAAAAATATATTTATTTTTTTTTGTAAGCATTAAAAAAATATTAGCAAATAATAAATGCATTATCTAATTATTTGAATATATATTTGGCCATGCACTCAACAATAACAAGTTAAAAAAATTATTTATTCCAGAAGACACTTCCTATAAATAAAATTTAACTCTTTATATTTAAAAAAAAAACGTTTATATATATATATATAAATACTTTATTAATTAGAAAATTATGATGGGTGGGAAGTAAAATTATCCCTTTTCGATTATTTATGCACGTAATAACCCCATTCTGACCGCAGGCTCCTAATCCATGTCTATGTGACCGGAATACGCCGTCTGAAAGCGGTGGCAGCCGCCGTAGTTGCCGTGCAATTAGGTTTTCTTTCCAAATGAACTTCCTACTTTCTAACAGATCCATTTGTTTTTCCTGTCTTCATTTCCCAGCTCCCAGTAATCTATTTCACCGACAAAGCCCGAATCTCCTAATCTGTAATCCGAAGAGATCGCTTCTGAAAACTTCCATATTCTGCTCCAGCGGAGATTGCAATCTGACGAACTCCGCAAGATACGGCGGATGGGACGATAATGGTTTTGTAAGTGATTCAGATCAGTTCCGTAATTTTTTGGTTTCTGTTGGCATCGATCATAAAAGACATTTGTTCACGTTTGTCTTCGGGTTTTTATGTGCTTTGGCCATTTCCAGAGTTAAAGTCTATTCAATTGCTGTTTTTCCAGCATCTGTTTTTGTTTTTGCTGTTGGATTTTCTCTTGGATTTGTTCGTGGTGGAAGTGTAGATGGCCTAAATTTACTTGGGAATAAAAACCGGGGGAAAGAGGAAATTTCTGGGTTTCACGCTGAGAGTTTAAGAAATTTGGTGGAGATTTTTGATCGGTTTGCCGTCAAACTTGATAATTTGAAATGTAGTATACAGAATGCTGTTGATTCTAGGGAAATTACACTTAGTGATTTAGAAAGCTACGTTAAGGTTTTAGAATCGAATGATTTTTCAACCTCCAATGCTATAAAGGCTGTTGAGGCCTTGATTAATGATGGGGGCAGCTCCAAAGCTGTTGTTCTTGAGAATCATAAACCAAGTAGAAAAGTTAAAGGCCCAGGAGATGTGGGGTTTGAGCTTTTGCGATCCTTCGGCAGTTTGCTTGGAGAAAAGTTGGTTGGTTCTAAGCCCAATAAAGTGAAAAACAATGTTAAGCCACAGATGTCGCCGCTCAATTCGGTTGACAATCAAACTAAAAGGAGCTCAATACCATCTGAAGTTGGTTCGATAGATACTGCTACTGGTTCTAATCCAGCTATAAGTTTAGATGCTTTTGAGGTATCGAGGAAAAAGCATGCTATGGAGATGGATTATTTTACACGAGTTAACATTACTCGAGAAAGGGATAGCATAAATTCAAAGGGAATGCATGGGAGTTCAAAAAGATTTATTGATGGTGAAGACTACAAGAATAATAGATTGCAGTACCGGGACGATTACCTTAATATTTCTAACACGGATCTTAACAACAAACTCGAAAATTCACAACTTCATGATAATTTTCTTAATGCTGGGGACTATAGTTTCAAAATGAAGCATAGGGAGACTAAAACTTCCTTTGTAGAAGAGCGTGGATTCGAGGAAAATAATGGAGCTTATAGGTCCTCTCACATGTCGAAGAGCGAGAGTGAAATATATAGATCCCAGTTTAGAGAAGCGGGAGCAAGGAAAAAGGAAAATCCTCATTTAACTGATCAACCATTTGGAGAAGAGAACGATGTTGCTTCCTCATCATCTTCATTGATTTATGATGATGCAATGTTCAATAAATGCCTTATGGAAGCTAATGATCTTCTAAAACAAGCTAAGGATTTGATGAAGTATAGACGCGATGAAGAGCGTGTGGAGGTCATATTATGCCAGTCTGCTAGTTTGTTGGCAAAGGCAACAACTATGAAGCCCATGAGTTTGCTGGCAGTTGGTCAGTTGGCAAATACTTATCTTCTTCATGGAGAATTGAAGTTAAGAATTAGTCGCGAGTTAAGAAAACTTCTAGCAGGAAAAGAGCCCGAATCTATTGGGAAATGGTTTGAAATGGTGGAGGGACTAGATGATGATTCTATTACTAGAAGAGATAAACTAACATCCATTCTCGTTAGTGTGTGTGAAGAGTGTGAAGAACTTCTTGTGATGGCAGGTAGAAAGTATAGAATGGCATTATCAATCGACCGGAATGACGTGCGAGCACTATATAACTGGGGTCTTGCCCTCTCCTTTCGTGCACAATTGATTGCAGACGTTGGACCGGTGAGTACCATATTCTACACATCGGTAACCTGAATGCTGTTAAGAAAGCTGTTATTCTAGTAATTTTTTGATAGTCGTCATCCACAAGTATCTTGTTCTTTTTACGCTATATGATGTTTCTCGCTATTTAAAAGGTTCTCCTTGTCATATCAAATTTCAGGAATCAGCTTTTGATGCTGATAAGGTCTTTTTAGCTGCCATTGATAAATTTGATGCAATGATGTCAAGAGGCAATGTTTATGCACCCGACGGTATGTTTTCTAGACTTGCTGCTCAAATTGAATGCCACAAAAGTATACATTTGCTTGCTATAAGTGAGATCTAGAAAACTTGCCTTCAAGAAATTTTAGAAATTGAAATAATTTTGAAGTCCTTGGGGTGTGCTTCATATGTGGGCACCAAAATCTGAAAGTTTGGGAATCCAAAACTCATGTTAGTATTAAGCATTGATATCTTAATTCTACCATGAATACCTAACATAAAAGCTAATTCTTTAGGTTCCCATTTATTAACATTATTTCCACGTATGAGTTTCTTTTTATTAATGTTTTCAGGATCTAGACCAAGATTCAAAAACTAAAAAAAAAAATAGTTTTTTTGAAACTTGTTTGTTTTTTTAAAATTTGGCTAAGAATTCAAATGTTTTCTTAAGAACGATGAACTTCGAGAAAACAAACACAAATTTCAATCATCGAAGGAGAGGCCTTAATGTCTTTAATAGCGACTATTCTTTTGGTAGAGTTTTACATACCAAACACAAGCATCCAATTCCATTGTCAACTTACCAAATACCCTTTCATGATTATTATAGAAACATTGAAACATGTGCGATCACTTACCAAACAGTTCTGTGTAGCATATTGCTGAGTAGGAGATGGCCCCGGGGGCGGGTTTGAAATACTGAAAGCTAAGCTTTGCTTATGTTTAGTATCCAGTTAGTTATAATAGGGTGTGGTTATTATAGAGATCAGCTGCATGAGGGGGTTGGTTTGTTAGACTGGCCATTGAGATTGGGCACTCCTTTCACAGTTTGTTAGTCTAGAAGTAATAAATGGATGAACGAGCGAGTGAAAGAAGGAAATCTGGTGAGAAATCGAGAGGAGGAACAATTCAAAGCCCTCGAAAATCTGGCGTGCACATTGTAACCATTATTGGTAGATTACCTGTATATTTCCATTCTATTCTGTAATTCTTTCCGTGTCCTATCTGCCTAGCAGCTTTGAGTTGATTCGAATGGTTAGAATTGTTTAGGACACCGTTTATGAGATGGTTATACTACCAACGATTTTCATTTTGCGTGTAACATAACGCATCTTCCTTATTGCAGCTCTGTTCAGATGGGCTATGACGTTGCAGCAACGATCTCGGTTAAGGCCTAACAATAGCAAAGAGAAGCACAAGTTGCTGCTGCAGGCGAGACGGCTCTATGAAGACTCATTGAACATGAACTCCGACAATGTTCAAGTAAGAGAAGCCTTAATGTCCTGTATATCTGAGCTTCAGTTCGGGCAGTATTAGCAATTTTGTTAGAATTTTGATTGGTGGTCGTAGCTGTTCATTTATGTCATTAAACGAGTCGTGTCGTTATTACAACAGCTCGTTGCACTGATACCCATCTTAAAAAGAAAATCAATATTGAATACAGTAATAATAATACAAGCCACTGCTTGAAATGTTGCTGAGGCAATACCAATACATGAGATGAACTTCCATTTCTATACGATGGTATGATAAAGAGAAATTGATGTTTATCGACAAGTTTCTGATG